GGTAAATAAGGAGGTGGGGTAGGGGTAGGGGTGTGTGTATATGTGTTTGTGTGTGTTTGTGTGTGTGTGTGTGTGTGTGTGTGTGTGTGTGTGAATGTGTATAGAAGTGTACATAGGGGATGTTGTCCACAGGCAATGGACCAGAACCTGGCACTTACATGAAAATGAATGAAATATCTAACCTGCCCCATATTTTGGAATAATGAGAAGCTGTGCCAAAAGTTGAACAAAAAGTCTTTATGCCCTCCTAGGGAGGGTTGGGGTGGGGGATGGATAAATTAAAGGCAGCATGTCTCAAGACTCAGCCTAGGGAATTCCAGGAGTAAGGGTTAAAATATAGGCTGCACCTGTTCTGGCTGTGTCCTCTCTTCCCCAGACCTTAGCATAAAGCTGACTTAAATAAAGACTATCCAAACCATATATATCAGGTTACGGACAAATGCAACTCAAACCCATCCAAAGGGGTCTATCTCACTGGAGAACATTGAGGAAGAACATGAAGGACTTAGTATGTTCATTTGTTAGATTTTCGAAATTTGAAATAGTCCATTAAGGGTAGAGTCATGGACTCTTAGAACTGGAAGACCAGAGAGACCATGTTAGAGATGAAGTAAGTATAGACACACTTATAGACAGAGGACCTGGAATTAGATTGAGTGAAGGAAGTACTAGGCCAGAATGGTTTCTAAGGAATGTAGTGTTTCCGAGAATTTCAGAGTTCAAGAAGGGATCTTAGAGGTTGTCTAGATAAACACATACCTGAAGCAGAAATCTTCTACCACAACTTTAACAAGTTGTCACATAGCCCCCATTTAAAAACCTGAGGCAGCCACCCTATAGGACCCTGCGACAGATCTGAGGGTCAATTTTTTTTCTCATGTAGAATTGAATTATTTCTATATGAGAAAAACTCAGAGGATTCTTATATCTTCCTTTTAACTTTCTGCTATAAGCCCTAGTCCTGGTTCTGGACCTTGAGGTGAAGCACAATGAATCTAGTTCCTTTTCCAACAGCCCTTTCAATATTTATCTCCTCTTCTTCCATCTCTCTCTCCTTCACACCATCTTTCCATGGCATGGTTTCAAGTGCTATCCTGGTCACTCTCATCATAAGCTTTAGCTTCCTTTCTACAATGTGTTACCAAAAGCTAAACACATTTTTGATTAAATCACTTCAAAGTTCCACCAAGAGTGCATTAATGTGCCTGTCCTCACATGTAGCCCCTCTAGCAACTGTCATTTTTCTGTCTGGCTTCGTTGCTAATCTGATAGATTCGAAGTAAAACCTGAATTGTGGAAAGCATTTTAACACTTGAGATGCTGCCCATTCACTTTCACTCCAGTCATTGTCCCTTTGAAAAGAATTTGAACACTCTTTTTGTATTCAAGTGGATTGTCCTGTTCTGGCAAGAGCATTAGTGAGAACAGGTGTGATTCACTTGTGTTTTCTAAAGAATCTGAAAATGACTTTGGTGCTGTCTTCTCCAGCTTCCTGGACCACATGGGCACAACAGGAAGCTACTTCCTAAAAGACATTCCAGGCTAGAATAACAATTATGTTGCAGGATTTAGGCCTAAAATATTTGATAAGATGGGAGTTTTCCTAAGCTCTAATTTGCCAATAAAAAAAAATCAGAGCTAATAAAAATGTAGGGTAAGATTAAGAGGCAGCATAGCCTAGAGGTTAAAGTCTTAGCTTCAGAAAGTCCTGAGTTCAAGACCAATCTCTGGCATATATAAAGACATGTGGGGGAGGTTTGGTTTTCCTTTTCAGTGGATGTAGTCACAGACTATAATGACAAATGCTGAACATTTGTGTTAACAGAATGTTGATACCCTATCATCCCTTTAGGAAGTATGGACACCTCTGTTTAAGTCAGAAAGGAGGAAGGGAATAATGCCATTGAATTAACAAAAATTGGCCACACTTTTGCAAGGCTCTAAATAGCTAAACCTTGAGGACAGATGGCAGTTCAAGAGATTAGAACAATAGAGGAAGGGAAAGCCAATAGTCAGGGAAGAACCTAATTCCTCACTTCTCAGGAGAGGGGGAGAGAGAATTTTCTCCTTCCTACTATCCCCCCCCAACTCTCCCCCTCCACACACATTGGAGTCAGTGTTTAGCAATAGAGGTATTTACCCTGAAGGAGACAACTCCCAAAGAAGCAGTTGGATGGTCAGTTTGAGAGTTCAAAGCATTGTTGAGTGAGCAGACATACTTGATAGACGTAGATACAGAGAAATAATCATAAGAGGGAAGAAACAGATCTGAGGAGAGACTTCTAGCAGCAGAAAATAAGTCTGGCTCTAGACTTGAGAAAAAGCTAGCTCTAGTGTGATAGGACCAACATTTTCTTGATACAGCTTCCTTGACAGAGCTTCCTGATCTGGGGGCATAAAAGGTTGCAGTTGCTTGTAGTTGGGACCTCTCAGATTTGGTGGGTGCCACAGTCCTACTCTGAAGACTTACTGACTAGATGAGTTTCCAGACTGGAGAGGAGGAGGAGGTCTGCATCCAGAGAAACTAAATGCCACTGTATCCTTGCCGTGTTTGGGCAAAATAAATCTCCTTTGCTAAATGTATAATGATTTGAGAGTTTTATATTTTGTCCCTATTTTGTTCAGCGTTAGGAGAGCATAAGAGAATATTAGTGTTAGAGCCACACTATAATACCTGGCAATCTGGAGCAGAACTAAAGAGAGAATTTCACAAAGAAAGACATGACTTCAAGGCCCTACAGTGCCAGTATGATCAGCTTTAGCCACATGTGTTCACTATATGAGTGCATCACCAGCACTGCTTCTAAGTTTTTGCCCATTCTTCCCATAAAGGCTTTGAGTATTTTGTGAATGACTGTGCCTAGGCTTCTGGGGTGAGGGTGGGGGGATGTTTTATAGTTTTTACTATGCCATCTTATTAAATGTCTTTTTAATCAGTTAATCATGTCTAGTGGCTTATTATTGAAGGAAAGCACACAGGTAGGGGCTCACAAGGTATAGTTTCAAAAGGGTTTCTCCATCACTAAAACCTAGTAGTAGTAGTACATTAATAGCTACCTTCTAAGGACCAAAACTCTGAGTGTAAGAGCAGATTGGGGGAAAAAGTGGGTGACTGGGCAGTCACTTAACTTCTTAGCACCCCCAAACAACTCTCTATAAGTTGTAGAACAATTGCCAATGTGCATTGTTACAGAGGATTTCCTTACTAGAAATTACCTACACTAATAAAATAATGTCTCAAACCAAACAAAGAAGATTTAATTTAAAATGTAGGACTAGTCATTTTAAAAGTCTATTGCCCCATTTCTGAATATCCAGAAGGGAGAAAAACCAAATGATTTGTACCAGTTTAAGGTGTCATGCAAAGCAAAAATTGAATGCTGGATCTCAGCATGCCTCAGACCAAGTCCTCTGTGTTATGTAGATAAATGCTAACAAGGAGTAGAACCTCAGCCTCACTCTTATTAATACGTAAAAAGGAGCTGAAGTTACAGCTGTGCAATAGTGTTTTGACCTCTATCAGGCCTAACATAAATGTTTGCCTATGAGCAAGCCTATAAAAAGAGAATGTAGAAGACAGAGGGCAGGTAAGTGTCTGAGGATCTGGAGAGCACTGGATATGGAGTCAAGAAGATCTGAATTTAAATCCTGCATCAGACACTAGCTGTGTGACCTTGGGCAAGTCACTTAACCTTTCTCAGCCTCAATTTCCTCATCTGCCAAATGTCCATACTTAGTAACATACTTAGCATAGTGCTTGGCCAAACTAGTTGTTGACTGTCTCACAAGGCTGTTGTATTGAAGTAAATAATTTCAAAGTGTTTTGAAAAAATCATAAAATGCATTATCATTATTACCACCAGCAGAACATAGTGTTAAAATCTGGTTTCTGACTGTGAGCATCAATTTTGGTGGCTAATGCAAAACAACATAATAGCACATGGCTATTCAGGCCTTGGGAACAAGGTGAGGAAGAGAAGAGGAGAAAAATTATTCAAAGAAAGCATCCGGCACAAAAGGTAAGGTAGAACAGTCTGGATTTTGTTTATTACTTTCATGTAATAAAGAACTTTTTCCTTGCCTTTTTTTTTGTCTTTTTTTTGTCTTTTCTTTTTTTTTCTTTTTCTTTCTTTTTTTCTTTAACATACATTAAGTTGTGAATCAGATGTTAGAAGATGTGGAGGTGGAAGGAAAATTGGTGACATCACAATTTTTTTTTACAACTTTACAACAAATAGGAGTCTGAGTCTGTTGCACCTACCAGTGTATAGCAAGGGTGGAAAAAGGAAAGGCACACTTAGGTTTATGAACCTTCCTCCCCACACATAGCAGGGAGAAAAAGGAAAAAAAAAAGGAAAAAAAAGAGGTAAGAGAAGAAGACCCATTGAATACAAATGGACATTTCAGGGTCAACCTGGTGATCGATCTGATGCACATTACCAGGTAGAGAGTTGTTCTCCACTGTGGCAGGTGCAGCAGTCTTTCTGGTCTGGTTTGCTAGGGACAGCCATAAGTATTGCATTACATCTGGTTTTCTCTACTGCCAAGCTCTTGGGAGAAGGTTGCAAGGTAAAATTCCTTCCTTCCCCCGCTCCTTGCCCTCACCTTCCCAGCACCTACATCTTTAAAGAAAAAATCACAATTCCTGCTTAGGGAACAGAGTTTGTGACTTCAAGAAGCATGGACCACAGAATCTGAACAGTTAGTCCACTAAAAAAAAAAAAAGATGTGATAAGAATTATGGAATGGAAGGACATGCACTCACCCTTGTTACACACTTCGGTCTCCAGACTGTTCAGATTCTCTAAATATCACCTATACTCTAGATGATTCAAAATGGTTCATGTCTTTCAAAAAGTACAAAACGAAACAAAACACCTGCAGAACAAACTAGGTTTAAAAAGGAGGAGGGGGACAGAACCTAGAAGAATCTTCTAAACACACTGTTCATCCGATTTAAATGTAAACAAACAAAAAAAAAACCCAACACAACAATAATGTTCACTTTCTACAGTATGTAGACACAGTTTTTTTTTCACTTTTATTGACATATTAAGCAAAAAAACCTGTGTGCATGGACAAATGAAAACTGAGAAAGAAACTGACACACAACCCCCCCCTAAAAAAACCCCACAAGGAAACAAAAAACTAAATAAAAAAAAATCCTTTGCCTCGAAAGGCTTTTGCATCATCCATTGTGGTTGGCCTTGTACTCCAGGTTATTTATTAATCACAGCAGGGACCAGCCTGCCCAAATGAATTTCCACCTCATTTCATTGTGTACATTGTGTGTGTTCACTGGGCAAATGACTGGGGACTCCTCTCAGGCATCAGCCCAAATGCCCAAGTGTGCACACGGCTTGTGTACATGCCAGAAATGATGATGATTACTTTAGTTTCTTCTCTGCTGGCTGAGAATATCACCATATTGAAATGATATGAAAATATAAGGTGGAAGAAGGAGATGTGCAGGAAGAAAGGATAATGCCACCCACAACACTGGGGTCCATGCTGGCAGCACAGCTTAAGGGTGGTTTGAATTGGCACAACTAGAAAGGTAATTTGAATTAGAGGGTGTGGTACTGCCCTAGTTTCTCAAGGGATGTGAAATTATTATGATAACCATGACATTCTTCTTCAAAACTGCTTGACTTCAATTTTCTAGAGGGTCTTAGGGGAGGGGAGGAAAATAAATATCTGATATTTTTTTTTCCAAAAGGGGAAAAAAAGTTGAACATACTATAGCTCACAAGTATACACAACTGAGGGTGTAAGGCACAAATTTACATGTGGAAGAAAACAGGCTATTCACAGATGTAATCCCACGAAAAAACCCGTGTGATCAAACCATTAATTTATGCATGGTAACAGCCAGCATATTAATGAGTTTACACCATTTGTGCATTTCGTTTGCCATCTCACATGCAAGGTGAAATGAGAGGGCACATCACAAGCTGGTGCCTTCACAGAAAGTATTATCGATTGACACAGCCTAGTTGGCTGCAATGTTGCACTTATGTGCATTCTAAGTTTCTTGCAGTTGCTTTAGATCTAGGGGCATTTCATTTTCTCTTTGTTTTTTGTGTGTGTGCATGTCACAGGTCAGAGACCCAGCCAGAAAAGTAACTGATGGATTTAAATAAATATTCCCCTCTTAATTTTTTTTCCTTTTAGCTAAGATCAGACAGTCCAAACAAAAAGTTTAGAATTCAAGCTCCAACTTATTTGCTCAGTGAATTTATTGGAAAAATAAAGTGAACTTAATTACTCCAGTTAATGGAATTCATGTTAAAATCGTATAACTTTCAATGGGCTTTCTGAAGAGCTGTTCTTAGGATATGTGAAAAAAGTCATCTCTTTAAGAAAAGAAAAGGTGAACAATAAATAATAGGAGTTATTTGCGTTAACGGTCACGTTATTCATTAAAAGAGAAGAGTAGCAGAATTCTATGACATAGTAGCCCAACATGGCAATGAACAGGAGGCTGTAACACTGATGGGCATTTCACAGTATCTGCACATAGTAAACTTCTGCCATTGTTAAAGTCTGAGTTAGATTTATCAATGAATTCTTTACTTTTTTTTATCTTTTTTTTTTCCTTTCATTTCTTTTTATGGACTTCTGTTGCAAAGGACAGAATGCTAGGCCAGTCCAGCAACGTCCAATGCAGTCATGGGCGAAATGTTGCAGTCACTGTTCACCTGTGTGTGAGTGTGAGTGTGTGTGTGTGTGTGTGTGTGTGTGTGTGTGTGTGTGTGTGTGTATGTGCTTTTGGCTCATGTTTGTGATGTTAAGTCTTTTTTGTGAATCAGAGCTGTTATCAAGTGGAAAAGGCAGGGGAGGATGAGGGATGAGTCCTGTGGTTGTAAACCTTCATCGAAACACATGGCCCAATTTCAGAAAGTATTCCACTTTATCCCAAAGGAAAGGACTGTGTCCTCAGCAACACTGCAGCCTTCTTTGTAAGATTGGAACTGATGAGGCAGTTTAGAACATTGGCTGAGAGGGGCCAATTTCGCTTCACTGTTGGTTTACCACCTGTCCCCCTCCCACTGGGATTATGTACATGCGTCATTAGGTTTCATGGATGTGGAAAGGGGGGCAAAAGAAGGTTTGGGAGGTACATCTGGTTTTAGTGAGGGTGTGCGCTTCAGCCCCGACCGTGTCAGTGAGTTGTATGGATTGAGGCTGGGTTGCCTTGAAACAGTCACTGCCTGGGTGGGCGGGGCACCATGCACCTGTATGGAGTCCACCCTCTGAGGGGCAGGGGGTGGGTTGTCTCCCCTGCTGAAGCTCTGATTTCTAGAAAGGTGGGAGGAATTAGAAGAGTTAGTATTGTTTCTTTTGAGGGTGGCTGCTTGGTGGCTCCTTGTTAGAGAGTTTGTGGGATAGCTCCTTTTATAGTCCACACCGTAGGAGGAGGGATGCATTTCCAGTCGTTTGCCCAGGCCATTCTGAGACAGCGAGGACCCTGGGGGCCCCAGGGAGGCCTCCCTCTGGGGGACCTTTGGAGGCAGGCTATCCAGGTTCTCGACCAGATTTACCCCATGGTTGGGGCTCTTGCTGCTAAGATGCTCCTTGATGGTCTTGTACTCAAGGGTGGCTGCCTGGTCTTCCAGGGACATCTGTGTCACGTCACTCATTTTCGGCTGGTCCACGTACTCGTGCTGATAGCCCTGCTGAGTGATGGGCAGGACCACAACACTGGGGATGTGGCTTGGGGAAGCCCGGAGGGGAAGTTCAGTGGGAATCACAGGGGAGGACATTGGGGCCATGTCCTTTGTACAGGCATTAATGAGGTTTTGATTCCTCTCCCACTCCCGGCTCCCTCGACTGGGCTTCCGTTTCTGCTGCAGAGTTGGGGTAGACTCTGGAGTAGGCAGAGCTGCCAGGTCTAGGTGGTGCTGGTCGGCCTTGATGAGTATCTTGGCCGTATTGCTGGGTGTGGCAAGTTTGCCATTGTGCATCAGGGGGGTGAGGATGGCTTCTGGCTTAGGGTCCTTAGACTGTGTGTCCCCAAAGAGGCCGCTGAGCTTGGTCACACTGCTCATGGAACCCCGGCGTGAGTGCGTCAGCTCTTTCTCCTTCCTCTGTGTGACTGACACATCCTTGCGACGATGATCACAAATGCAATAGACGATGATGCCCGAGAAGACGGCCCCCATGACAAAAGCCAAGATGACTGCAATGGCCAAGAGGGTGACTGGAACAAGCTGATCGTGGCCTTTGAGGTAACTTTCCCGAATCACACCTGCAACAGATATCAGACAAAGCATTATGGAAAGGAAATATACTGACGAGAGTTTCTTTTCACAAAATTTAACATTCAGCCTATTAAGTAATAACAGTAATAATTAACCAACAGCTACTTCTGTCTCATCTTCAAAGCAAGGTCTTACAAAACAGTAGTTAATTAGTCCTTACAACACCTCTTGTTAAGTAACAAATAAACTTTGTTTGATGTCTTGCTTTTGTTCTGAAAAGTACATTTCAGGATCTCAAGTCTACACCCTCTCCTTCATTCGGGGCAGTGCCATATTTTAATCTCTAAATTTCATTTCTCCTCTTTCCCCCATCTCCCTAATCTCTTCTTTGTGCCCTTCTCTTGTTCTCTCTCTCTCTCAAATAATCACGGTAAATCCAGAAATGGGAAGCCTTTCAGGAGAGATGGCAGTCCTTCAATACACAAATCTCACAGTACATCAAGCTTTCTGCCTAGATCTTTTTGGTCATTATCACTGACAAATCTAAAAGCCAGAGTCACACATTTAGTGCCCATCAGGAAGGCAAGCTCTATTAACATCCCAGGTAACCATGAGAAGGAAAGGGAGCTGTGAACCAAAATATACTGGAAAGTAAAAAGCAAACGTGCACAGATTTCAAGTGGCAATGCCAATTTAATTTTTTATTTAAAATTAAAAAAAAATACTACATACACTCTCAATGCTAGACAGGAAACTCTGCCGACTATTTGAGTGAGGCTTTTTCCTTACTACATCTGAAGAAACTGTAGCAAGAAGATCATTTTGTGGCATTTTGCAGTGAGCCTGGAGATGCGTCAGGTTCCATTATTGTTTGTAAAGCCTGCTGTCATAGTGAGTTTCTTTGCTGGAGTTAATCTCTTCAATTTAATAAAAATTACGTGACTACACCAGTCAATAATCTTACACAGCATTAACCAAGATGCTGAATTTCTAAAGAAAGTTACTTTCCTAGTTCCTGCTTAATCAAGCACCAAGCTAGCAGATGTTGATCAAAATCGAACAGAAAAGGGCTTTTCCTTTTAAAAACTAAGTGAACAAGTGTCACAATTGTCAAATCACAAGTGCCTGATGTGGTAGTTAAAAAAAAAAATCCAAAAGGCCTCAATTCAAATGTCTGGAGAGCCAGGGAATATGAATGCATTAAAGGCATTAACATGCTCTGAGGAAACGTAAACATGGTTCCTATTCTGGAAGAAATAGCAAGATAGAAAATGTACTTTCAAGGGCCTCCGGAGACACATCTTTCATCTACTAAATTAAGTCTTTCTAGAATATGTTTCCTAAATTTTACTGGCAGATAACAGTGACAACAATTAGGATTATGTACATATATTAATAATTATACCTAAATCTATATGTATGTAGATATAATCCTATTCCTCCCCCCCCAAATCCATAAAACATTGAACTTTTACTGATAAACTACTGGTGCCACAAAAAAAGATCTCAGGGGAAAAAAACATACATATTTCCAAAGAAAGAGCTTAGTGATATCACAGATTTTTCTGTTGAAATCTTTTGATTATTGAGGAGAAAGGTAAGAGATGCATAAACTTGATGCTTAAGAAGAGTTCATTTGCTCTTTCTCCATCCTTTATCCAATCTCCCTCCTCTCAAAGTTGGTTGCTGTGGAAATGATTGTCCTGTGACAAAAGGCTATGATTCAAGGTAAGGAATAAATAGTGAAAGCAAGATGATCTCTTGAGAACCAAAGATCCAGCATCTGAACACACATTCTTGATAATGAAGGACAACCACCACAAAACATCCCTTAGAAAGCACTGTAAGGTTGAGAAATGGAATGATTTCCAAATGTAATGTTTTTAATAAAAATTTCCAGATTATCTTCATAGACTTATAAGGGTAGAGATTGAAAAACAGTAACAGTAGGGGACTTCAGCTATAACTCACACCTTTTATGTTGTGGCAGTCTCCAAACAGTAGGGTATCTTACACTGAAATATATTTTAAAACTTAGGCATCACAAACTGAGCTAATGTATGTAATGGTTTTAAATTTGTATTTTCTTGCTGTTATACAAAAACAGCAGCTCTGATTTTTCCCAGCGCTATCTATAGGTTGTTAGAGTACTAAAAATGTGTAGTGGCAAAGAACAGTTATTTTTCAATTTTGCAATGATCTGATAGTTTCACTGAAACAACTGTCACTGAACAATGAATACTTTTTCAGCCAAGTACATTTGCAGAAGGACAGCTGGGTGGCACAGTGGACAAAGTGTGGGGCTGGAGTCAGGAAGACTCATCTTCCTGATTTCAAAACCAGCCTCAGACACTTACTATCTGTATGACCCCGGGCAAGTCACTTAATCCTGTTTGCCTCAGTTTCCCCATCTGTAAAATGAGAGGGAGAAGGAAATGGCAAACCACTCTAGTATCTTTGCCAAGAAAACCTCAAATAGGGTCGCAAGGAGTTGGACATGACTGAAAAATGACTGAACAACAAAAATATTATAGGAACCTACTTTTCTCAGCATCTAACATAGCTTGATAACAAAAATAAACTATGCTTCCACAGTTAGGTGGTACAGTGGATATAGCATTGGACTTCAAGTCAGGAAGACTTGAGTTCAAATCTGGTCTCAGACACTTACTACCTGTGTGGTCCAAGTCAAATCACTTAACTTCTGTCTCAGTTTCCTTATCTGTAAAATGGGGATAAGAACAGGGTCTTACTCCCAAGTTGATTGTGAGGATAAAATAAGATAATATTTGTAAAGCATTTTTACAAATCTTAAATGTTATTTTACTCTAAAACAAACTCAATTTGGTATTTTACATTGTAAGAGATGTTTCTACTTAAAAGGAGCACAGTATGAATAACAACACACTGAAATCCATTTCATTCACTGGTTGACTTGTGGGGTGGAGGAGAGTCAAAAGTGGGTCTTTTAAAATAGAAGTTAAGGAGAGCATATTCCCTATACTGTTTCCAAACTTTCCTTTTATCTCCTAATTCTTTCCTTATAGGCCTAAACTGGGGTGGGGAACCTGCTGCCTCCAGGCCACATGTGGCCCTCTAGGTCCTCAAGTGCAGCCCTTTGATTGAATCCAAACTTCACAGAACAAATCCCCTTAATAAAAGGATTTGTTCGGTAAAACTTGGACTTAGTCATAAGGCTGCACCTAAGAACCTAGAAGGCTGTGTGGCCTCAAGTCTTCAGGTTTCCTCACCCCACAATTTCTGAGACAGTGCGGCAAGGTTGGCCATTATGAAAAGTTGAAGAAAGTCACAGAAGAGGAGAAATAGGTTTAATGGTTATTAGCAAACTTGGAGCTAGAATCACAGCCGTTCAATACTTGATCATTTCCTAGTAACTCCAGTGGAGAGTATAAAGATTGAATGCATGATGGTGATAGGTCTATGCTTCTCAGTTTCATACCCCGTCCTGCCAAAACGGGGTTGAATAGATGCTGAGACAAGGACATGTGAGACACATGTCTTGGTGAATACAGGCCTATTCAGTGGTATTTGGACTGTAGAATTATCTACTCAGAGCATACCAGGTATGCTATATTTTCTAGTTTATAGACTAATGTAATTTTTCATGGGTTGGTCAGAAAGACAATTAAGCTGGACACATAAGGAGATGAACAGCCCAAGTGCCATACTGATACCTAAGCAATGCCAAAAAACCTAGAGGCAGACCTTCAACATTTTGAGTGGACACCTATAGGGGATTTAGGGGAGGACAGGGACAAGAGGTGGGCAGGAATGCAAGGCATGGAAGGATCTTCATTGCTAGAAGGTGTGCCCCTCTTCTCTCTCCCCCTCCCTCATTGAGATCACAAATCCATTAAGGCAGGAAAATATAAGAATACAGTTAGCAAAAAATGAAATATTTAGCAAAAGATACCAATTCTCAGTCATCCTAAGTACGATTCCCTGACAATACTGATAGTAATATTACCAGAAGATAGGAAGAACTGGTCACAAAGGGTATTATATTTGTAATACATACCACTTGTCTAGAAATTTTGAAATGGATTTCTAAATTAAGTGGGTTATCTTTAGAATGCCTGTAACTCTGGTTCTAAATGTAGCAAAAAAAAAAAAATGATCTCTTAAACTGCACAATAAATATTTTAATATTGACCTTATTTTGGGGGCAAATTTTTAAAAATTGACAAATACTCTTAGTAGTTACTAAAAGACACTAAGACCAAACACTTAAAAAGAGATAAGAAATTGATCCTTAAATAATTCGTTTGGGCTTATGTGACCCTAAAACGGACCATTTGCATGCAAATTACTAGCTAGACTTGATTCAATAATTAGGAAAAAAAAGTCTGAGAAAGTCTCAATGTGTTAACAAGATGGACACTCAAGTTTTAATGCAATTCATTTCCCAGTGTCTGGTTTGTGGTTTTTGTGACCCAGTCTCAAGATCAAAGGATCGTGGGCTTTAGAGCTAGAAGGGGCCTTTAGAAGCTATCAAGTATAATCTCTTCATTTGTAAGATAAAGAATCCAACGCCCAGAAAAGGAAAATGATTCAAATAGGGTTACACTGTTATTAAGGGAAGGAGGAGGGATTTAAACCTGGTTTTCCTAACTCCTAGTGTTCAACCAGCTCCACTGTGTTGTGGTTCTGATATGTATAAGGATATGTTTACTTCTTGCAGTCTTATAGTTCTGAGTGCCATCCTTCCTCTAGGGCATTGATTCGTAGCCATTTTTGTGTCATAAACCCCTTTGGCAAACTGGTGAGGCATATGGTCCCCTTCTTGGAATAATGTTTTATTGCCTATACTCATAATTGAGAGAAATGTTGAATTTCAGTTAGTGAAAATAAAAATGTAAATTTTCCCCATTCCACACACACAAGGTGAAGATCTTAGGAATCTAAGTGAATTAATATTTCTTGCTAGAATAGATACAAACACACACAATTTGATGATGATGTGTTCAGTCGTTTCAGTCATGTCTGACTCTTCATGGGGTTTTCTTGGCAAAGATACTGGAGTGGT